TGCCACCCTCTGCTGCCCTACCCTGCGCCTCAGGGAGGCCCCTGCCCTATGGCAAGTGGGACACAGCATCATGGACAGCTCTCGGCACCTCTGAAGGGAAGTGAAGGACATGAGGGTGAGGGAGGGCGCCACGTGGGTCTCAACTACTGCAATGACGACGTGTTTTTTAACCTGTACCCATTACGGTGACTGGGTTTAAATGTCCTCTCCACCTCCTCCTCTGGCAACGGGCCTAATTCTCCATCCCTGTTGCAATGCAGATACAAAAGAGCTACTGTGCCGATTCCCGCTTTAGCTCCTCTTGCAGGGCACAGGAGGGGCTTTCGTACCTGAAGACTTGTCTTTGTTCAGGTTTTCTTTAAATGTTTTATTTTCCCTGCTATTTCATTGGTCGAATAAAAGGCATCATCAGCTCGTCTGACAGACTACCTTGCTGCCATTCAGGTTTGGTAGCACTTCAATCCCCCTTGATACGCAGTTTGTTCAAGCCTGTGGCACCGTGGAAGGTGCACTCAGATGACCTCAAGAACCACATCTGTCCTGTGTGCCGCTCAGCACTCTTCCAGCTGCTTCAGGCAGTGAGCTAAGTTATTCCACTGCACCAGCCCTGTGAAAGTATTGTGTAGAATTGTCACAGAATGGTTTGGGTTGGAGGGGACCTTAAAGATCATCTAGTCCCACCTCCTACTGTAGGCAGGGATATTATCCACTAGACCAGGGATATTATCCACTCAAACCCTTCCAACCCGGCCTTGAACACTGCCAGGGATGGGGCAGCCACAGCTTCTCTGCTCCAGTGCCTCACCACCCTCATATTTTTTTTTCTTCAGTCCAATTTAAACCTATCCTCTTTCAGTTTTGAACTGTTGCTCCTTTTCCTATCCAAGCCTTAGTAAAAAGTCTTTCTTTGTCTTTCTTATAAGCCCCTTTCATATACCCTTGTAATAAGGTCTTCTCAAAGACTGCTCTTCTCCAGGCTGAATAACCCCAGCTCTCTCAGCCTGTCTTCACAGTGGAGGTGTTCTCATTTTTGTGGCCCTCCTCTGAACCTGCTCTAGCAGTCCTTCTGTGCAGGGCTGAACCCAGTTTCATACAAGTGTATGTTCAAGGTTCCTTGCTACTTTTTCCACCCACTTGTTATTTCTTTCATTGCAAACTATAACAAATCCTTTAGCATCTTTTTCCATACATCACTCCTTTTCTGACCACTACCGTAAGCTATATTTCAGCATGACCTACCGGTTCCCTATGTTTGGTTATAAAAGTAGGGTGCTGAATATGTATTTTCTTGCCTGAACTTACTGGTCAGCTCAGAGACCTTTGGCAGGGTTTCCTTTATCTTTTCCCATAATCATACCTGCATGACTTCCCTGCTTGACTAGCCTCTGCTGGGTTTTAGGGGCCACTAACCCTCACCCCGCAGAGAGAGGCACTGACACACATCCCCACTGCCACCTCTGCAAGAAAGAGCTGAGGGATGTCACGTCCAGAGCCACGTTTCATGGCTGGTTCCTTTAACCACGACAAAGATAGAGAGCCTCAGCTCCATGGCCCATCCAACTGTTGGTCCTCACCGTGTCCTACCCTGCCTGCAGAGCAAGCTGTGCCCTGGAGGTCAAGGCAAAATACACCTTTTATTGGGATGAGTTTGGGAGGACAGTATTACAAAACAAGTGGCAATAAGAACTTCACAGTACCTCAAACTGTGGGGTATCCTGTGTCCACCAAACAAGTTCAGTCTTACAAATTGTTGTTTGTGGGGTATTTTTTCTTATTTTCATCTTTTTAGATTCCCTCTATTTTAAAAATACTTCGGAATATATCAGTTACTATGGAAACCACTCTCCTTGCACAGGGTGGAGTTCAGAGACATTTATGAGACAAGAACAAATTGTATTGGTAGAGTGTTTCAAAATGTTTATTGCAATTTATTAAACAGGGGATGTGTAGTGATTTATGTGGAAAAAATCTAAATGTAGATCACAAAATGACAGTCTGCTGTTTTATGTGAAGGTCAGTTCACCAAACTCTCATTTAGTTTGTGAATTACTCTCATGCCAATACCAAACTTTTATGTCTTTTATGATGATTCCTTGGATTAGTGAGTCAGAGAAGGATCAAAGGTAATAAGAACCTCCACCTCTAAGACAGAAAAAGGGAAATCAACAGGAGCTCCAAGTGCTTGTGCGCTGGGAGGTGAGCTGCAGGACTAGGGACAGACAGGTGCCCCGGGGCTTCATGTCCAATAGCCAAGATTCCTCTGCAACAGCCAAACAACTGCCAAACCGGTCACACCAGCAGAGGACTGAGCAGGGCATGGACCCTGCCTCCTGTCATCCTGTTCTGCTTCATCTCACCTCTCCTCTGAATTCCTTACTGAACCACTGCCAGCATCGCCTTTCAGCAATGGTGCCACACAGATGTGTGGCTGGGAGGCTCCTCAGGCAGTGTTCCTGCATCTAAGTACCATCAATTCCCTTTATATCCACCAACCCCTTCCCCTGTTTTTAAAATCTTCCAGCAAAGGGGATTTGATAACTGATCACATAACCTGTTACACAGCTTCACTGTCCCAATCCCAACTGTTACCATTTTCGCTTCACATTTGATTTTCTTTCCCAATGATTGACCATATCTCCAAATATTTGAAGATGTGTACTGTGAAACTCAGTAGAAGTTTCTCAGACTTCCTAAAGGACTTTTACCACCAACCATCCCTAAAAGCCAATTATTACCAAACCTGTCTTCCTGTCTGAGAAGCAGGAAGCTTTTTGTTGGTTTGCCTTTAAGCCCAAACCAAAAGGAAACCTATTCCTGTGAGCACAGCTCTTCTCAGCAGCTTCCTGCCATAGCAGAGCTGTACCTTCTTGCAGCTTGTAATCCCATGCACCCAGGGCCATGCCGCAGTTTGGGGGGACACCCAGTATCCATTCATGCAACATTCATCACACCCAGTAAGTTTTCAAACGGAATATATTTCAGGCTCAAGGAGGACATGCTGTCGCTTTTAAAAAAGAAGGAAACTAAGACTTCATGATTTTTCTACGGTTAAATGCAGAAAGGCTTTCCAGATTTATAAGCTGCCACAGTCGGTTTGACCTTTCTGTGTTCTTGCAGTGACTTCTGTGCTGGCAGCAGCTTCCTCCGCTTCCTCCACCATACAACCAGCACAGTCGGTCGATATAGTGCCAAATTTATACCCGTTTGTCTCAAAATATAAAGACACCAATCTCAGCTCTGATCTTCTCAAAAATTACTTTTTGCAACGTATTTAGGATATGTGAAAAGAAACATATGTATGCCACTGCTTTAAGCCTCTCTAAACCAGCTGTAAAGTATTGTGCTCAACTGGGAGGTGATAAGAATCAGAGGTGAAAGATGGCACTAGATGCATTATCTTCTGCAATTTTAAGAAAATATACTGAAGACCGATGTTATTCAGGGTAGCTTCATGAAGAAACACCAATTAATATGTGAGGATTACCCACAGGTAACCCTGTAATCTTATTCTCTGCTGCAGAAAATGTTTTTTTGCAAGGGACTGCTGCAGCAAACTATTAGGAAGGCAGCAGAGATACAAGGAGGCCAGGATATGGATGATTACACAGGCAAAATGTTTTGTTCTGGCTTATCAGTGTTTCAGATGGCTGTACCTACTGCCAACACTTATGAAAATACTCCTACGTGGCATGGATATTCCACGTTTGCTGCTTTCCCAAGGTCTCAGCTCTGAAAGCATCGGCCTTAATATTTAAGGGGTAATTCTTTGCAATTAATCTCTGCACTTTCTCTGAAACAAGTATTTTTAGCTACAAGGGCTCTTCTGAGGCCATCAGAGAAGCACAGCAATGTTGCTCAGAATGGTACATTAGCCAGACTGTATCTTACAGAAACAGTTTTATGTGTGTTTTTATGACTTATACGGCATTTAAAGACGAAATCTGGACATATAATCAGAAAGAGCTATCTTAATAAATAACAAGGCAGCAGCTGGACACCTCCATTTTTTAGCATTTTTATCCTCAGACTATCATTGTGAGAAAGGGAAATGCTTTTGTATCAGTCATACCAATGGGGAGATAAGAAGGCGGAGCAGAGATTTGACCCACGTATCCCCAGCCTTGGGCACATACCCTGCATTTCTTCTGGCCTTCCTTTCCTCGGGGCCTCTACCTTTGCATGTGAAGAGAGTTGCAGGTCAGACTGAGCACGGCCAGATGTTTTCACTTTCAACCCCTTGTACAAAGCTCCTGCCCTTTGGTAGACTGAAGCTATAAACTGCTTCATATGAACTGCAAAGTTATGGACTATTTTCTAAACTGTCATCTTAAATGCATTCTCTATATTTTTAGACAAAACAAGTGTGTCAAACTGCTGGTGGTACTCAGAGTCCAGCTGAGGTATACTCCTAAGTAATCACATAAAGCTTTTCTTTCCTCACAGCCTTTGGGAGGTTTACTAATCCATGTGGCTGGTCTCCCAGCAATTTTGGTCTGCTTTCTGAGGGGGCTTTCTGAGTAATTATGGCCAAGGAGTTTGAATGGGACCATCTAATGTGTTTTACTTTATTGCAAGCACAATGTAGAAGTGGTCCCTGTGGTGGATATCAGCAGAGATATGGCCCGTCTGTGCCAGGAACAGGCCTTACATGGCAGGGTAGTGGCTGGTGTGGGGACCCAGGGGAGGCAAAGGAAGATGGAAAGTTTATTTCAGAAGAAAAATGAAGGATGTCTGCTGGTGTCAGAGTAAAAATAGATGCGATCAGTAATCAAAGCAGAGCTTGAACAGGATATTAACATTGCACATCTGAACACCCTAAGCAATTTGGACCTGGCTCTTGTGCAAGCTGTTCGGACTGGCCCTGAATCAATATAGTGCCCCTTTCCCCCTGCTGCAGTCACCAGGTACTATGGGGTTTTTGTCTTTCATGAGGTAAACTTCACCAACATTCTCACCTCCTGGAGCAAGGAGGACTCACCATTGATGCAGGAGAACTAGGTTAGGGAGCACTTAAACAAACCCTACATACGTAAGTCCATGGGCCCTGACAGGAGGTACCCGTGAGTGCTGAGGGAGATGGCAGGTGTCATTGTGAGGCCACTCTCAATAATCTTTGAAAGGTCAAGGTGTCTGGGAGAGCTTCCTGAAGACTGGGAGAAAGCAGTGTCACTCCTGTCTTTAAGAAGAAC